TTAAATTTTTTCTGCCATAGAAACCAAGCAAAGCCTACGCTTTTAAGATGGTCAATGAATTGAGATGCTATTTGATGAAACCAAATTATATAACAATCTAATTTTGACCAAAACTGATATTTTCATTACCACAGGATTGAGAATTATAAAAATATTACGAATTATAATCGACTAGGGAGAAATAAGCTTCGAAAAAAGGATTACAGCAATACCAAAATTTCCAAAACGCAAAAGTATGAATAATCATTGTGTCAGGGTACTCACCTGTCGAATTTATTGGGTTATCTGAATTATATTTTGAAGAAATAGAAAGAATTTACAAAAGAAGTAACGACAGGACCGTAATTCAAAATTTTTGTCACTGATGATGGTAGTTATTTATAATGAAACGCTATAAAAATATCAAATATGATTTATTCTCGGATTGCGAATTTATGGCTTTATTACTATCTGTAATAAAAAAGGAAGGTCCGTATTTAAAAAAAAAGTTGAAGGTGGCTAAGTTGACACGAAACGTTTTATCGAATATTCATCTTCAAGTACAGTACACTTCGAATACAATCACATTTCATCTTTCCATTTTTTGATATTCTCCGAAATAACAATTCCATTCGAAAAAAACGAAAAACAGAATTTTCGGTTTTCCCCGTATAACTCGAGAGGGGCGAGAGTCCCCCTAAATTTTCTTCGACCATTGTATTGTTCACGATGACAGTTACCTTTTTTCGTATTCAATCCTCTTGGTATCTGTTACGGTTTAGAATATAGCAATGTTACCACATGATAAAAAAAACGGCCTGTACAAACATAATACGACAAACTTTTGGAACTTCTCATGGATCATTCAATTTAAAATCCCCACATTCTAACACAATCGCGGATGAAGTTCCCTCATCGACACTCAAATAAAATCTACTCACAATGCCAATGTTCTTCAAACAATCCTACAATATTTTTTTCATTTGAGGTCTTCGCATCTACACATTAATGCAGATGAGGTCCTTCATCACACACATAGAAAAAGGCACGAATTTGAAGAGCCCTCACAACTCATGGCAGTTACGGAGTGCTCGGAAGAAACACACAATTTTTTCCATTCGCAATTTCAGAGAATCTGAGAGGCTTTTGGGAATGCTCATGAAATTTCATCGTCAGTAATATAAGCGCTATTGGTCTAAGACGTCTCCTTCACCATGTCCTCGGAACCTTATAGATAATTCCACGGTCCTCGCTTCACCACCGAGTCACGTATTGGTATGTGTGTGTGTGTGTGGTGTGTGTGTGGCAGATACCCACTTCGCCACCTGGCGGACATGCTACTAAATCAACTGCAGATAAGGTTTATGACTAGCTGGAATTGATTTTGTTTGGTCGGGATACTCAGACGGTTCACTCAGTCTGAAGTGACCTGCCCACTACTGATGATGGGGTAATATTCCGAAACCGGTGTATCGATTGCTTGTACTGACTAAATGAAATTAATTTCTGCTTTTCATATGCTGGAAGCAACTTGCAAAAAATCTTCCGAATGGAAGACGTTTGACAGTTGCCTGATGGTTTCACTTCAGCTTTCTATGCGGCATTAGCTGTGTCAGTTGTTGTCTGTACATCTATATATATATATACTCCGGGTTTCCGGGTTTCGATCCGTGTTCTGCTTTTTATTCCCATTAAAATTATCTCCACAACTTTTCGGCAAAGCCCGATTTGCCATCATCTGGTGATGTCTGGAGTTCAGAACTAGACTGATCTGTTTGGACTCTGTTGATTTATAGGTATGGGTAGTTTCATTTACCTGGGTTTCTTCTACTGCTTGTTTTGGCCCTTCTCCCCGTGCAGGTTTGAAATGTTAACTCGATGATTCTTAGGAATAATGTATGATGATAAGTTTTTCCGGGTTTCTATCCGTAATGGTGAGGTGGGTTAGAATTCATGAAGGAGACAGCTCATACATTCAGAGAATGATTGATTATTCTGTTTAGATTTATTGTCCTAGAACTCACTTCCAGTAAATAGATCCAGTACCAGTCTAATATGAATGGTTTCATTTAAGGCCTTCTTTCGATTGAATGACCTTTTCTCGTATTAGTACTGCTGCAGAGCTAGAATGCCTTGCGTGAATGCCTAATACAGTAGTAGCAGTAGTTAGTAGTTACCCGCTGTTGAGCCGATCAAGATTGTTGTACCCACAGAACACTGCAGACCCAAGGTTGGAACTCTAGGACCATAATTGTGTCTTCAAGCCACCTCGAGAGGAACACACACAGATAAGCCTATCTATTGAGATAGTGATAAAGCACTTGCAATAACTATATTTTTGATTCTTGATCAATTATTTCAGCAAATACTCATGTTCTTCAAACCTATAAAAAGAAAAATATTAGAGTAGAGTAGATTCTCTTATGCTCATGTAGATACTAAGTTGGGGTGTAACAACTCTCGCATAGGAGCCTAGTCAGAACTGTTCTGCGAGTCTCCTGGATGAGCATATGAATCCATTGATCCTTCATAAACATAAATCCATTTTCCAAACCTAGTGTAGGCTGGCAATATCGCTATATTGAATGTGAAGTGTACTTAGAAACTCCAACGTTTCAGGTATGGAAGATACACCCAGGCTTTTGCAAAATCATCTTGTTTTGTATGGACTTCATGAAAAAACATCCTAATTTCTAACTTTTTCCCATTCTTTTTCGTTATTTACTTCGTTTTCTTGAACTTCTCTCATATTACTGATAGACTTGACATTCAAGATAGCTGAGATAACTTCATTACTACTAAAAAACGTTTCATGAACCTGCGATTCGAAACAATTTGGAGCAGCAGCCTCTCTGTAAGATATTATTTTGAGTAAATGTGATTGTTTTGTTTTTAAGAGTGATAAGACAGAATTCGACGGTTTGGTCAGTTTAGTTCCTTTTTCATCACCATCACTACTTCCACTTCTCTCATCTTGATCCTTTTTCCGTTTGAGAGGTTTTCTGACTGAAAATAATAGTAATTGATATAATACTATACGAAAATTACAAACTACAAACCGTTGTTAACTAACACCCACGGGAGCCAAAAGGAATCATCTGATCATATGTATACGTAATCATCAAAGTTCCTACTTGATTTCTAGATAATAATATATAATAATATAATATATGATAATATAATAATAATAATATATTCACACAAATAAAAGTATCATTTCAGTATTATTTTTCAGTTGATTACCTTTGAGTTATTCCTCCATTTTCTTGATCTTAATACCTTCTAAATATTATGTTATGAAGTTGAAAAAAAGAGAAGTATTGTGTGAATTTCACTTGTCACTTCGGAACGGAAATTTCATACAAAATAATATTGGTGACCCCGATGTGATCGCGAAATAAAGAAAGAACAAAAATTAAACCAAAGACGCACTGTTGGTTTGAACTGTAGCCTATCAACGAATTATATTCCCTGTTTCACTCAGATTTGGTTTAACAACAGCAGTGAATAATCTCCACATAAGTATATCTGAAAAAATACTGACAGTTAAATCTTCAAAATCCAAAGAAAATTACGAAATCGAAACGTTAACGAGAATTACACCTGTAAAGCAGCTTTCGATTCCCAGGTTAGGATTGCAAGCAGCAGATGTGTGAAGCAGATTGAAACAGACAATAAAATTGAACTGAAAAACCCATCAACAGAATGTATTTTTGGACAGTCCGTAATCAGAATGTCGGCAAGAAGAGGATGTCCTCGAACAATATATTGCAACAATCCGTCAGATTCAGAAGATCTTACTTCCATGCATTTTTTGTTGGAATATTCTTACACCACGCGCGAATCTACATTACTTCCAATAAACCCTGATGCTAACGGATTGAGGCGCGAATGGAGAATGTCTCGAATGTTGATTGATACATTTTGAAACAGATAGGTGAAACAATATCATCCACGTTTGACGAAAAGGAGTAACTGGACCAACGACAGCAAACCCATCGCAGCAATAAATGATTGTCCTGACCAAAATGGATATTATTTGGTACGAAAGTTAGATACGAAATAAGAAATTTAAAATCAAGCGAAGCTTTGTTCCAAAATTTTATCTTTCACAGAAATTGAAAAAAAGTTACTCAACTTAGCTTTTTGGAACCACTTTCTCATATCCATTTAGGCAGTGTCGGTGATCTTGTTAATTAATTATTCTTCGCACAGAAATTTTTAAGCAACCATTACGAAATATATTTTGCGATATTGTCGCAACTCAGTTCTCGCTTGGCTATTTACGAGAGGATTTTTATTTGCTGTTTCACCCATTCATTCATTCATCCAAATAATAAAAGAACTCATTTGGAACTCAATTAAATGTTTATTGTAAAAGAAACGGAAAAAATACTTTAAATAAAGTCAAACTCAAATGTTAATAAGAAAATGATGCATTAAAACAATCAAAAACTTACATTATACTGCCACCCAGCAGGATCGAAGAGAAGGAGATGTGCTGCATTGCTGATGATTAATCGATACTCAAATGAATACTGAATACTGTCTGTTGACTGTTAACTGTTAACTATTAACTATTATCCATGATCTTGACCTCCCTCAATATTTATAAAGAATTATACGCTGACATTGCGACTTTGATCCGGTCACTGTACTGAGGTAAAATGCACAGCATGCAATCTGTGCCAAGTTTGCGTATTTGGAGATTGTTTTATATTCCATATCCTGTGATCGGATCAATTTCGATGTCTATGAACTTGAAATATTAAAAGATGGAATTCTGAATACTGAGTGTTCTTGTGTTAAAATATTGAAGTGAGGTTGGAACATCTTTCAATTCATGTATGTAATTAAATGAATCTGAATTATTTCATGTTCATTTCCTATATTTGACACATCTCCCCTCCACGTTAAAGCTGGCCCCCAGCTTTTTGGGTGGTAACGAAAAACAAATTGAAATTCAAATGAAAACTCACAACTCAATAAAAATATTTTGAATAATAAAAAAAAAGCAATGGGTTTAAAGTATGATTACGAACATCAATTACAAACTATATGTCCTATAAAAGTTGGAAAGAACTATATTGTCCAATTGATTCTGCAACTATGAGTTCCCACACTAATATTGTCATAGTCCGGCACTGAACTATATCTGTCTTTGTGTCAATCCACCAATCTGTCTGCACAGCGTTCCGTGTCTTGGGGTTCTGATCCTGTTTTGGTTGACGGCTGCTCGGCTACCACAACTCAACTGGATGGAAACATTGGCAAGGTAGTAGTGGAATGGATTGGACTGGACTATAATTACGTATTACGTTGTGCTTTGCGTTTTCTCGTATTACCAGAACATGTTTTTCTGGTTTCTGTGAAATGCATCTGTCATTCTGTTCCATGCCTATTCACTCAATTGTGTATAGAGAAGAAGATTTATGACTTGACATGACATATGACATACATATATTTTGATGAATATGTGGATATTTAGCGGCATTTTTCGTTCACTGAAGTGATTTTGATTTTACACTTTGAAATATATATTTATATCTGTGTGTTCATCGTGTAATAGTGTGATCAAGTTATTAGCTGCCTAGGAATATAGAAATTACCCCTTCGAGAGCTTTTGGGAAACTTCAAACATCATCGTTTGTGGTTCTGTTGTGTCAGCATTTATGAAACTAGCGTTGTTTTCATAAATTATTAGTGAAATATTTTCTGTAGGCTGCTTGGGATTTGGATTATCTTAGTACTCAACGGTATGACGGTGATTCTGGATTGTTTTGAGTATTACAATTCTATTCACATATTATGTCTGTGGATGATGTCTGCCCACACAGGAACTGTTTATCAGCTACTCAGAACAACTGGTAACGCAACAACGTAAGTATTTGTTTCTGGTTGAATATGGCACTAGTGACTGCGATATTCCTATAGTCCATTCATTTGACCCATGATGATTCAACTTCATGTTTCCCTAGGTCATCGTGCTGTCTATGGTACGATCTGCTGAATGTCCTGGAGTGGAAAACCGTAACAGTGGTGATGGAGTAGTGGAGTAGTGACTGCCTCGAAGTGCCTTGGGGTGTAGTGTTGCCTCGATTGCATGAAACAAGAGAGAAATTCGGCAGTAAGTTCTTTCATGATATATTTTTATTCTTATAGCTAGGTTATGTTACTAATAAATTCGATAACAAAAAAATCAACAAAAATAACTGCATTCCATAGTTAACAATCATTTTACATTTTATTCTAATTGGTTAGAGTACATATAATATACATTAAAGTTAATTTGACGATAAATAGCAGATACCTTACAAACTTTCTTTTTCAACTTTGAAGCATACTTTTTGATTTATGCTTGAACATACTTTCAAAATCCATTGGTTCTTTATGACACACCCATTTTAACATTAATTTTTTTATGTACAATTTTTTACTGATTCCTTACAGTATTTGTTACCTGCCTATTCAATTGTCACCTCATGTGATATACATTTCACTGAATAATAGGAAATTGAAAATAGCAATAGCAATTTATTTTCTTTTCAATGAAACCTAACTATTCTGGATTCTTTTTAATTTGAGTCAGAATATTCATTCATAAAACAATTCAGATTTCTGAAATTTTTTCGTATAACACATACTTAACTAAATGAATTCATTTTTGTTGAATATTATATGTACTCTGGACATTGCTGAACATGTACTGAACATTGCCATGAAGGATTACATGCATTTATAGAGCATAGTTTAACAAATTTAATTCTGTTATAGGGGAGGTGCTTAAGATTATGCAAAAAATAGTGAACAATAGTATTTGAGGAAAAAACTTTTTGTGAAAGAGAGGTAAGTATGTATGAAGTGTAACACTTCCATGTAGAACATGTTTCAATAAAGACCAGCATCTTTTATTAACTCTTAATATCAGTTTCGCAATAAATATTTATAGGAAATGAATTATTACACTTCAAACTTGAAGGAAAGAGTTTCCCAAAATTTACTGAAAATAGTAAATCTGAGAAAACTTTCAATATTTTACATTGCACTGTATCAAAAAAGACGTCATAAACCAATCGATAAGAGTTCATATTTATACTGTGTGTCAACGATGAGGAGTTTTTCATGCTGGCGTTCCTTATATCAACGTTGAGTAAGAAGTTTTGTATTTTTATAGTTCACTTTGTTTTTCCGTTACCCATATCGGTATCAAAGTTTTCGGTTTTTTATAAAAAAATCAGGCAACAGCTTATGAGAGGAACAATTAGTTTGTGTTATGTTAGCAAAAATAGTAGCCAACGACGTTTTTCATAAAGGTAGATGTAATAGATCATATTCGATAAGAATTTCATTTGGAGCACATGTATCTTCGCTGAGATGGATATTATGTCTATTTATTCACGCCGTTATATCAACTGAATATTACTTATACTTGTAATTGAAAATTATTATAATAAAAACAGCAAACAAAATATAAAAATGTAAAATATAAACTTCAATTACATATGACAACTCACTCTAATGATTATAAAAGAGTAGCAAAATCAGAAAAAATACATGTGTTACAAAATGAACCTTATTGATATGGACGATGAATCGAACACAGGAAAAACTTAATGAGCTGACGTTGATGACTACTATAATTTTTTTCGAGTCATTACCAATGAATTATCAAAGGATGATTGGGAACAAGGAATATATTATGAATCCAACTAATTGATACTATGATACACATTCCCAAGCTGATGAAACAGATATTGGTAGGTGTATCATTTATTTTTCAAAAAGTCAGATACGTATGCAAAATTTCGAAATCATGTAATGGGTAATCGTACGGAGCTGGATGAACAGATATTCCATACGTTTAGCCAATTCAACTGTACAATTCCAAGCTGATGAAACAGATATTGGAAAATGTACCGCTCATACTTTCGAAATTTACAGACGATAAATGAAAATTTTTTCAAATTATTCCATTGGCAATCATAAGAAGCTGAATGAACAGATATTCTTTACGATTGCTCAACTTCAGTAATAATTCTCTTTCTAAGCTGATGAACAGTTATTAGAAAGTATATCACTCATAATTTGAGGAGAAAGGAAACATGGAAAATTGACTGAAATAATAGGTTGTATATGGATTTAAAAAAAAATTGAAGCACAAGAACCAACTTATAACATATTCAAAACTAATCATCAAACTACCAAAAAAACATTTATTTGAAGTATATTAAAAAGAAGGAAAAACTGTAATTTCACTGGATGAAACAGCTATTAAATTCTCTCATTATTCTAAAACAAAAGAAAAATACACTTTTCAGCTAATTACCACAAAATATTATTATTACTTGAACAATTCAACTTTTTGTATCAGAAAATTAGTTACACAGGCCCATTATGAAGAATGAAGCCCCCGAGAACGAGAGAGGCGCCTCCACCACGTGTCGCAACTCAGTTCTCGCTTGGCTATTTACGAGAGGAAAATATTGAAGTGAGGTTGGAACATCTTTCAATTCATGTATGTAATTAAATGAATCTGAATTATTTCATGTTCATTACCTATATTTGACAATATATTAAATGTTATAAAAAAATATGTTTCAACTCGTAACCAGATGGGTGAAGGTCATTCTATGATCGGATCTTAGACTAAGAAGCCGACGGACTCCGAGCTTCCTACAATATCTCCTTGCTAATTGCTCGAACAGGTAAACCTCACACTAATTTAATTTTACCGACAATAAAAGAAGTAATAACTACTGTGCTCCATAAACCAGAGGCAGATATTATCCGAAAAATTCCTTTGAGCAATAGTTCCGTGCAAAGACGAATTGATGAGAAGGCTGAAAATATTGAAGATTCATTGTGCAATCATCCGAAGACTTCTAAATTCTCAATTCAGTTAGATGAGTCCACTATACCAACTAATGAAGCCTTGTTGTTGGCATACGTGAGGTTTACTAAAAATGAAAAAATATATCAAGAACTACTATTTGCCAGAAATTTAGAGACAGATACAAAAGGAGAAACCATATATAATACACTGGAAAAATTTTGTGATGAGAAAGAATTTCCACTAAAGAATATCATATCAGCTGCTACAGAGGGCGCTTCGGCTATGACAGAACGTCATAAAGGCTTCATAGCGTACTTAAAAAATAAAATTCCAGATGTGCTCGCTGTATATTGCGTCATTCGAAGGCAACATTTGGTTGCGAAAAATTTGAGTGAGCCCTCTCTCAATCACTGCAATATATCATCAGAGCAATCAATTAAATCCGAAACAACTATTTAAATGTGTTGCTAATGATGAAGATTTCAACCAATTGCTATTTCACACAGAAGTGCGTTGGTTATCGAGAGGTAACTGTCTGACTCGATTTTACAATCTTTTTGACTCTGTAATAGAGCTCTTGAAAAATGAAGGCAAAGAATTTCACGACAATCTCATCACTTCAAAGAATGATATTGCGTACTTGACAGACCTGTATAAATTATTTATTGACGTCAATCTCCAACTTCAAGGTGACGACTTGAATTTTATTGAAACAAAAAATGTAATTGCTAATTTTGTAGGCAAATTGCTCTTATACAAGAATAATATCGGCAGGTCAGCAGTATCCTTCAACAACGACGACTTGCTTGTTCACTGCCAACATTTGGCGAACCCCCACAGTCATTTCGCAGAACGATTCCAGGACATTTTATCCCGCAATTGTACCCTTAATTGTGGTACATCGTTAAACGATTTTTGAAAGCAGTCCCATCATTGTATTTGTGTGCAACGTGCTGTGGCAACGTTGCTAACTAAAAAGAGAAATCGTTTGCAGATTACCGAACACGGTGACTAACGGCTGTTTTTGAGTGAATTCGAGCCTGATATCAACAAACTTGTTGAAAATCATCAAAGTCATCCTTCACATTAGATTGTTTGCAGAATTCAAATTGAAATGTTTGTTTTAATAACATGAATAAAAGTTTTCCTAATATTACTGTTATATATTGGGTAACTTAGTGGACTGTTTTAATAGGTCTTTGAAAATTATCGAGTAGTTCGTTCTGTTCAGTGGTGCTAATGAATGAGAATTAACTAACAATAATAATGATATCAAAGAGAGAGAATTTAACGTGTCTGTGATTTCCTTACCTTGATTTTGGTCACAACGGCACTTGAGGAATCGGTGAATAGAGAGAGAGAGAGAGATAAGAAACTGCACTTTTCCAGTACAACTGCAGTTTTCTCGAGCACTTTCGGTTCTTTCTCCGGAATCGAACCTTTTGTCTATATGTTCTTCCTCTCGCGGCAGACAGAAAACCACAGTCGTCTCGCGATAAGAATATAAACAAAAAAAATGAAAACAAAAACTCTACTTTATCAGACAAACACACTATACAGGGAGGTGGTGACGATACAATTACAAAATGGTGTTTCACATTACCATCATCAGAAAGTCTTATTTTCACATGACACACATAATTGAATTATTGAAATAATGACTGCGATTGTGATTCTTAAGATGTAGTAAAGTAAAATAAATTGGGGGGCGCTAGAAAATAATTTATTCTCGAAGTGGACGGTGGACAAAATAAGTTTGAGAACCTCTGATCTGAAGGAAGAAATCGTTCAGGCCAGTCTCAACGCCCTACACTTAACACAGTCATTCAATGATAATATAGAAAGTAGATTTCAACGCTCAAAACTGAGTTTTGAGGAACAAAATACGTATTCTGTGAATCAGGTCAACTCAATTTTACTTATACATCGATATTTACAGACTTCGATAAACGACGAGAGTCTGGACAGGAAAAGGAATTAAGTGAAGTGAGCCTTTTACAAAAGATAATTCTCATTTTATATAGGTTTTGCTAACATAATTGGGTTCAGTCAAGATCAAATACATAAACCCTTGAACCTTCAGATAATTCACATAATGAGCATAAAAATGGAAACGAAAAACCATCAACTATGGGAATGAGTATTGAGATATGAGCGACAAATAATGAAGATAGGATGAAAAACAGACTTTAGGTTACAGTGTTGACCCATTACGTATACACAACAACTTATCATATGGATGGGTATACAACAGTATTGCAAAACAATCGACCTGGCAAACAATGAACACGGACTCCTCTTGTGCCAAATTCTTTTTCATCTACAATGGACTTATACGCAGTATTCCACAGTCTAATTACATTATGATTCAATCTTGTGTAATTACCATGGTATAATTAACTGACACCGTTATGCAAATTTGTTTCATATGCTATTTTTTTCTATTTCTTGAAATATTCCAATATTCATTCTGATATTCTACGCTGTTTCAAATCTAACAAATAAAAAATCAGGAACATCGGATGAACAGCAATCCAGTCGCTCTTGAGTTATAAAAGGTGTAACAAACACTACTTTGCTACTTTGTTTCACATACTATATTACCTATAACTTTCACATACTAGTACCTGTATCCCGACATAACCCTTAAGAATCCAGAAGAAAAAAAGGTTGAGGGAACCGCCTTCGAAAACACTCCTGAAGGTAACTTGCCCTATTTGT